AATGTTTTCCCATTTCAGACCATGTGTCATTCCCTTGAGTATTATTTCGTCCTTTACTAGAAATGCTTTTCAGCTATGGAGCAATGTTTTTCCATTTCAGACCATGTGTCATTCCCTTGAGTATTATTTCGCCCTTTACTAGAAATGCTTTTCAGCTATGGTGCAATGTTTTTCTGTGTTATAATGTATTCTTTCTTAAATGAAGATTAAGTTAAATTTGTTGCATGTTGAACAAGTTTTATATTTTAAAGTTGTTAGCTAACACCAGAAAAATTCCTGGAACTTCAATTATTTTTCTGTCACTTGTTAATGATATGTAATATCATCCATAGATAATAAATTAAAAACATTGAATATTTCAATACTTTATTTATTTATTTCTTAACAATATTTATACAGAAGTGACAAGTTCAGCAAAGCTGGTTTCAATGGGGTTTATTTAGAATCATTAATCATTCATAATTGTTGGTAACATTGATATTTTAGTCTATACTGTACACAAGAAATAATTCAACGTAAGAATTTACTTATTTGAGCAACACTGATGGGAAGGGGAAAGGGGATGGATGGATGGGATTTGGAGGGGGGGTGGGGGACTATAGAACATCGAGCAAGCACCTGACAAAGTATATTGGTACAGTGATATCTTTATTAAACACCTTTTAGTAAACGGAGCAAGGTCCTGAAGGAATTTACTATTAAGTATGTCCCTCTGTACTCCCACGCATGATTCTTAGTGAACATTTAACTGAAATACAGCCTCCAAATGTCACTTTACATTAATTTGGTTATACAACCACTGCCATCATTATTGACCACTCTTAAAACTCCAGTGTATGCAGACTTAGCCTCGCTTCTAAGTTTGGTAAATAAAAACAGAAATTAGAATAACCAAACAAACTCCTGAGTTTGAGGCTAAGCCCACATAAAATGGTTGGCTGCAAAGAAGTGTTTCCTTCTGAAAAAAAGTGCATGGTAAGTTTCATTGCCGACTCTAGAATGAATACTGATCTATGATCTAACTCTATAAATGATGCATTCTGGTCTTAATAGGGGCATGTTACGTCATGGCTGCAAATGTTGGTTGACGATAACATAGCATTCCTCATTAGCTTCTCTTGATAGATGAACCAACATGGCAGCTGTTTCATTGTTATTTATATCTCCATGGATTTTACGTCATGTGATTGCACTCCAAGAATAAGGCAAGATAAACAAACAGTGTTTGTACCCAAACTAGACCCCAATACGTAATGCGAAAAAGGTCCACTGCGATGCAGCTGTTTATTTAAATGGTTTTGGTGGTGTGAATGAAAGTGAAGTATAAAATAGAAGATATCCTGCTGACGTCTGAAAAAGAAGAGAAAAATCATTAAGGCGTGAGCCACAACAAGAACAGAGGCAGTTGTCCAACTAGCACAGGTATAAATATTGAAGTAATAACACAACTACATCTTCTTGTTTCTAAATGTTTGATTGGCTGTCAATGGAAGGTATGAAAATGAAAATAGCCTAAGTGACTTTTTGGGATATTTTTAAAAAATAGCCTAAACCAAACAAAAATACCAGCAAACAGCCTCTTTTAGTTTAAATATGAATGTTTAGTATTTATTTTTCATGATTTTGATCGGAAAAGTAGAAAAACGCTCCTTAGTTACGCATTGGCTTTGCTTGACAACCGATCATCTGTCCGTGAACTAGTGTATATTTGCATATCACTTGATGCCTCAAGTGAATTGCATTAAACAGCCTGCTGTGTGTTCAAGCAGAAACTTTAATTCAATTTTGTCACTGTAAGGCTAATTTAATTACAGCTTCTCTTTTTTTTTTTTACAAGAGCATGGTATTTTTTGGCACAAATCTATTTTTTCGGCTTTGCAGGAAGCTACGCTTCCTTTAAATGCGTGTGTGCTCAAGCAGAAATTTTAATATAATATGGAAAATAAAATGCAGTATTTTTTCAGCTTGATKATAAAATTAATGATAGATTAAAAAATCTCAGTGTCAGTTGAATCTCAGTTGAACGTAAGCTTGTTTGCGATCGAGGTTAAACAAATATGTTAGCTGAAYGCCATTTGCAGTGGCTTTCACTCATGATGCTTTAAGGATAAAGATAAGGAAAAAAAGCCTTCTAATCAATCCTTTGAGCTTTCAATTATTGACTAAAGTTCCCCAAAGTTTAGGGAAACATGAGAAAGATTCGCTCACTGCTTCCCATCTATCTATTACGTTTTGGCACATACTCAAGTTGGTATTGAAAACCCTGGAATAATATGAGAGCAATATCGTATCATAATCCAAACTTACCACGACATTATTGGGATTTGAAATTTGTGTGACAAGCTGGTCATCAAACTTGTACCATCGTTTGTCATGTGAATTGATACAAAATGCTGTGTAATGGCCCCCATGCATTGTGCCGTAATGGTTAGAGACACTGAATAAGTTATATGATAAGCTCTTTGGACCTATGACGTAATCCGACATGTCAAGCTCTCTGAGAGGATATGAAACACTTGTTTGCAGCTTCTGCCTCCACATGCCATCATACTGAAACCTGTTTGAAATAAATTTAAAATATTGAAACAACCTGTGGGTAAGTCAGGGCACAGTTACCTCACAGATTGAACCCTGAAACAACCTCTGGGCTGATCTAAGTCAGGGCATGGCTAACTCACAGATTGAACCCTGAAACAACCTCTGAGCTGATCTAAGTCAGGGCATGGCTAACTCACAGATTGAACCCTGAAACAACCTCTGGGCTGATCTAAGTCAGGGCATGGCTAACTCACAGATTGAATGATAATTGTTAGGTTTAGAAAGGAACTTAACAAACTCTACTCACTTCACTGATGTGAAATCTAAGGATTGAACCCAAGACCTCAGTACAATATCTCTACAGCACCCCTATGTTTTCTGAGATGGAGGAATGAGTAGCATAAAAATTCATTTTTACAAACCTTTTCAGATGAATGATGAGTATCGGAGGAAGGCGCCATATCTGTAACTGTTTGACTGCTTCTCTGTGAAGTTTACACTTGGGACAAAACCACTTGTCATCACCAGACATCTTCTCTGGACGAGTGAACAGCTCCAGGCAGTTCTGACATCCAAAATGAATCACAAACACTACAGTCATCCTGCTCTATATCTTATTTTTTTGTTGGTTAGATGTGTCTGTCTGTCCTGTTGGTTAGATGTGTCTGTCTGTCATTTTGTTGGTTAGATGTGTCTGTCTGTCCTTCTGTTGGTTAGATGTGTCTGTCTGTCCTTCTGTTGGTTAGATGTGTCTGTCTGTCCTTTTGTTGGTTAGATGTGTCCGTCTGTCCTTCTGTTGGTTAGATGTGTCTGTCTGTCCTTCTGTTGGTTAGATGTGTCTGTCTGTCTGCAGTCTCGATGCATTAATTTTTCTTATGCTTGTGTCTGTCTGTTGGGTAGTGCACATCATTTTCCTTACATTTTGACTTTAAAATAACCCAGTGACTTGAAAGTCACTAGTAAATCTATATTCATATTTATAACCTCTGGAATAAATGGGTTAAATTTATTAACTATTGGTGCGAGTGAACATACTTTTAATGAGCATTGACTACATGCCAGCAGGGGTAGAGTGAGGTTAGAAAACGTTTCAAATGTTACAGATTCTTTGCCACAAGTCAAGCAGYGTACAGTAGACATAAACAGACCCTGTAATGAAGAAAGAAACACCTTTGATCAGTACTTATCATTTCTTGTTTCTTTTACTTGAAAGCAAAGATCTGTAAAGATAGCAGAACTACAATTTATCTTAATAGTCCCCTTCACAGTTCCCTGCGCCATCTTGAAAGGTAGCCGTGCCTTTGCATTGAAGYGAGACGAATGGTGAGCTTGCAATGATAGAGACCTTTTTTTAACACCTTGGACAAATATTCACAGGTCTCTATCTCTGGCACAGGGAACTGTGAAGGGGACTATTGTATGTCATATTGAAGTTCTTACATCAAACAATTGTAGCATAATGGATTCGTTTCTCTTCTTGTGATTGTCCCACGCTATTTCTGCTGCTGCTCTTGGATCAAGATCATCTTCTGGAGCAGGTAAGTAAGGCTTCTTGGTAACCTAAAACATTAAGAGCTAACATCAACTGGGCTTCAAATAATGACTGGAAAATCGGACAATGTTCGCCCAGAATGTGTAGTTCCAAAAATTATCCATACCCCCCTCACGGAGGAATTTTTTTAAGACACCCACCTATCCCCCAGAAATTCTAAGATTTTCTTCCATACAAACTCTGTAATTTTTGTTCTTTCTCTCACCCCACTACTCTTCGGAATTTCCAAATTCCTCTGTGGGGTGGATATGGATGATTCCTGGAACTACATGGAAGTCATTTTGGCCAGTAACGTTCAGCCAGAAACGAGGTATGACTGAGCTAAAACTAATTTAGCTGGTCATCATGACTGGCGACTTACCAAGCCCTGCATCAAAGCTAAACCTAATAAATAATTCATGTTCTTAAAAATAAATAGTTCCTATTGCAGTAATAACTATATTTATGGAGAGAAATACACCTATATAATGTTATATTAATCATGGTAGCCCTCAAAATTTAGTAAGTTCAGTAGATTTTGCACTAATTTGTACAATTTTATTAGTTAACTTTTTCAAGAATAAATGGTACGTAGTCTACAATACATCTGAGAAAAATGGAATAAGCTATTGTACAGTACTTGTACATAAAAATTATTGACTACATTGACCATTGGATACAAAGGTGCACATGAAAAACACTTTCTGTTATTTTGATTGACTGTTTCACTCATTTGAGTTATTGAGGACATTATTCACAGGAAAAAAAACTGGATTCCCAAATTGGGAATTGTTGGGAATCTCCTTGAATTCCCAATTCCAACACCAACGTTGGGATTTATTGTTGGGAATTTCCTTCTAATACCCAATAGAAAAACAAAATTCCCAACAAACTAACATTGGGAATCAGTGCCACGTTCCCAATTTCGTTCTCTCTGGGAATTGGATGGGAATTCGTTGGGAATTCAAGGA